GGGGACAGTCCCCGCTGGTTTCACAGCCCGGAGTTGTGGGGACGTCTCTTCCCGGCCTGGAGCCCTGGGCTGGGGGCCTGCTGTGGGGCTGGGACACTCCTCGGGGAAACCCCCACCCCCGAGATTCCCTCCCGGGTTTCAACTGCAGCACCAGGGGTGGGCCCGCTGCCTGTCTCTTCTATTCAGCCCCGATCTGCCCGCGTCTGCGCCCCTCCTCCCGGTCTCGGTGCATCTTCAGTTCCCTGGTTGTGGGGCTTCTGTTCAGCCAGATCTCAGGAGGCTCTGAGTGATGGTGGTTCTGTATTTAAGTTGTAATTTTGATGTGGTTGCGGGAGGCGGCGGGTGCAGCTGTTACCTACGCCGCCATCTTGTTTCTTAAGTCAGGAAATTTTAAAGTATCAAAAATATAGGTATAAAGGGAAAGTGATATTATATACATAAGTATCAAATAATCACAAAATTTGTGACTTGGCAGATTATGCTGTTAACTGACAAGTATAGCTGATTCACATTCATTATTTTTTAAATTGAGAAATAATTTACTTAGCATAATCACCCTTTATACAATTTAGTGGTTCTTAGTATATTCAAAAGTTATGCAACCATCATTACTATCTAATTCTAGAATATTGTCATTACACCAAAAAGAAACCCCACACCCCTTAGCTGTCACCCCTCTGCCCCCCCCACCATTCTCCCTAGTCCTAATCAATGATTAATCTACTTTCTGCCCCTATAGATTTACCTATTTTGGATATGCCATACAAAGGAATACTACAACATATGGCCCTTTGTGACTAGGTTTTTTCACTTAGTACATCCATATTGTAGGAGGTATCAGTACTTCATTTCTCTTTGTTGCTGAATAATAATCTGTTGTATGAATATACCACATTTTATTGATTCCTTCATCAGTTGAACACTTTGGGTGTTTTCCACTTTTTGTCATTACAGATAATGCTGTTACAAACATTCTTGTTCAAGGTTTTGTGTGAACTTATGTTTTCAGTTTTCTTGGTTATACCTATCAGTGTAATTGCTGATCATGTGGTAATGCTGTTTTTAACCATTTGAGGAACTGCCAGACTGTTTTCTGGAAATGCTATATCATTTACCTTCCCATCAGCAGTGTATGAGGTTTCCAATTTCTCCACATCCTCATTAACACTTGTTATTTTCTGTCTTTTATTATAGCCATTGCAGTTGGTGTAAAGTGGTATCTTATTGTGGGTTTGATTTCCATTTCCCTGATGGCTAATGTAGAGCATCTTTTCACATGCTTATTGGCCATTTGTATACCTTCTTTGGAGAAATGTCTGTTTGGATCCATTGCGCATTTTTAATTGGGTTATTTGTTTTTATGTTATTGAGTTGTAATAGTTCTTTATATAGTGTAGATACAAGTCCCTTATCAGATACATGATTTGCAAAAATTATCTCCCATGTATGGGTTGTCTTTTTACTTTCTTGATGGTGTCTTCTGTAGCACAAAAGTTTGAAATTTTGAACATTTCTGACATCTATATTTAGTTTTGTTGCTTATGCTTTTGGTGCTGTATCTAATAAACCATTGCTTCATCCAAGGTCACAAAGGTTTATGCCTCTGTTTTCTTCAAAGAGTTCTATAATTTTAGCTCTTATATTTAGGTCATTGATCCATTTTGAGTTAACTTTTGTAAATGTTGTGAGGTAGAGAACCAACTTTATTCTCTTGCCTGTAGATGTCCAGTTGTCTTAGTACTGCTTATTGAAAAGATTATTTTCCCCCCATTGCAGTTTGCTTTTTTCACTGAACAATGGATTATGGCAGTCTCTCAGTATCATTACAGAGAAAGCTTCCTCGTGTTTTTTCCCTTTTGTCCTTTTTTAAAGCTGTATGATATCCTTTGTATGGACATAATTAAAATTTACTTAGCCAGCCCTCTGTTGGTGAACACTTGGGTTGTTTCTGACATTTACTGTCACAAACAATTCTGTGGTAAGTATCATACNAGATTATTTTCCCCCCATTGCAGTTTGCTTTTTTCACTGAACAATGGATTATGGCAGTCTCTCAGTATCATTACAGAGAAAGCTTCCTCGTGTTTTTTCCCTTTTGTCCTTTTTTAAAGCTGTATGATATCCTTTGTATGGACATAATTAAAATTTACTTAGCCAGCCCTCTGTTGGTGAACACTTGGGTTGTTTCTGACATTTACTGTCACAAACAATTCTGTGGTAAGTATATGTACAGGCATATGTGAGGATACATTTTTGAAGTAGTACTGCTGAGTAAGGTGGTAAATATTTGTAAATATTACCAAGTATTTTATGAAATGAGACAAACATAAGGAAAATAATAGCCTTTAAAATATTAATATTGGAATTTTGATTGGAATTGCACTGTTAGTAAAATAGAGAGTAATATATGTAGAATAACAGTAGCCACCATTGTAGTACGGTGTGGAATACATGTAGAGTAAAAGTAGCTACTATTACTGAGCTCTTATAATGTGATAGTAGGTATTCAATACAGTAAATTGTGGTAGTAATACATCTTTATTTTATTTAATCTTCCCAACAGTCAGTTTTGCTAGAGGAGTTTCCTGACTGGTTCAAGGTCACATAGCAGGTGAATGGTGGTATCATCTAGGATTAAGAGAATGGTTTCTGAGGTCCTATCATCTTAGTTTGAATTCTGGCTCTGATCTCTCGAGCAAATTACTTCACCTCTATTAGCCTTAGTTTTGCCGTATGAAAGTAATACTGTCTACTGCATAGGCTTATTGCCAACAGTAACAAATTAATACAAAGTGTTTAAATCAATACTTGACACATAATATTCAATAAATGTTAGCTTTTTTAAACTTTACCATACAAACTGATTTTTTGAAACAGTATATTAATATATTACAGGCTTAGGGATTGTCTGTGTTTGTTAGACCTTAATAGAAGCTTATTCTGTAATGATAATGTGTACATAGCAAATGTGGAGATGTATGTTTTTTCTTTTTGCTAGTTGTCATCTTTAGTTTTGATGGATACTTTGTTAATTCTGTGCTTTTGCCTTTTAAAAGTTTATTGTTTTATTGCACAGATTATTAGTATAAAAATCATTTGGAAAGAACATTTCCATTTTTGTACCAGTAATTATAAAATAGATTTATTCTCAGCAACAGTATCGTCAATGGTTCAATCATATTAGACCCAGTGTCCCCTTTTTATAACAATATTTTGGAATGCTTTTTTGACTATTCTGAAATAAAATTCATAAAGCATACCTATGCACATAATTTTTAAAATAATATACTACACAATTGTAATATAAAGGAGAATAAAAGGACTTAAATAAAATATTAGTACTTCAGTATATAGAATACTTAGAGTGGCAACACTCTGACATAATGAAGTAGTCAAGGCATATGTAATCATGACTGCAACAACTAAAAATGCAGACTGTTACAGGTATGTTGAATTGATAACACTTTAATTGGTGTTGCTGTCAATGACATGGTCTTTTAAAACAGTGACTAGCTTTTGGTAGCAAAATAAAATATATAATTCTTAGTTTTCTTGCATTCCTATATTATTATTATTACCATGGAAAAGCACTTTGTTTCTATATGTAAAATAGAATTAGGGTCTAGACTTAGGTAAATATAGCTTTTTTTCATGTGTAGGACATTCACTGGTAGGATATTCAAAATTTCATGGGACAATTCTTCATTGATTGAGAAGATCCCATCCACTGCAGGAAGCTTAGTATCCCTGGCCCCTGTCTGAATACTAATAGTGTCCTCAAGTGAACCAGAAACTCCCTCACAAATTTCTAAAACAGAGCAGGGGAGTAACTGCCCCATTGAGATTCATTGTTTTGTGTTATAAACTATATTTGTTATACAAATTTAATTTATGTGCTTTATGAGAAAAATTCTTTGATAGTATTATCACCAGTCTTTTTTAACTTTTGTAAATTTGGAATCATATTTGATTTCATCTTTCATATCTAATCAGTGTACCTACCCTTAATTGAATTTTGAATTAAGATCATATTGTGATTGAAAGCAACCTTAGACTTTGCAGACCAATGTCAGTTTGAAGAACTTGTTTTCAGTGTTCAGTATGATGAGCACAGAAAGTGAGAGCAATGCTTAAAAGCTTTTATAGCAATTGGACGTTGCTATGGCATCCAAGTACATGATTTTTGTATTTTTCAGAAATACCAGTTTGCCAGAATAGAAATACCTAAAGTATTCTTTACCATACATTTTCTGAGAAGCATTGAAATAGACCAGTTCTTTTTAAACCTTTAAAAAGATTTAAAGCATTTAAACATTTTCATCAAACCAAACCTTATATGGACGCACAGTGTGTAAAAATGCATGAAAGTGAAGCTTGCTTTAGAACTTGTCTGAGCCTGAAGACGCCCAGGCTCCCATAGTGACCCCTCAGTGCCACCACTGACCCTCAGCGATTTTCAGCCTTTTTCATCTCATGACACACATAAACTAATTACTGAAATTCTGTGGCACACCAGAAAACATATTTTTTGTCAGTCTGACAAAAAAATAAGTATAATTTTGATTCATTCACACTGGATGTCTGTTGTTGGCTGTTGTCATTTTTTTATTTAACAGTCTAAGGGAAAAGAGATCAGTTCCCCTGACTAAATAGTCGGATATAGCATGGTTTAAAAATTCTTGCAGTACACCAGTGTGCCTGCCATGGCACACCAGTTGAAAATTGCTGCTCTAGGGCTTTTCAGAGCAGAGTTGAAATCCATTGGTTTATAGAAACCAACACACTCCTTTATAAAATTAGGGTTTCATTTATATCCCATTATAGGAAAAAGGTAATTTTTCCTAATGTATAAGTACATCTTATAAATAGTTATAAAAGAGACCAAAAAATCCCCCAAACCCCAACTAGATCTAAAATCTACACCTGGAATTTGAAGTGTCTGCCGTTATGACTGTTTAAAAAATTATTATTACTGATTTTAGAAGGGGGTGGGGGGGAGAGAAAGAAAGAGAACATGAATGTGAGAGAGCCATCCATTGGTTGTCTCTTGCATGCACCCTGACCGGAGATCGAACCCACAACCTAGGTGTGCCCTGACTGGTAATCAAACCTGCAACCTTCCGGTCTACAGGACCGCACTCCAGCCAACTGAGCCACACCAACCAGGGCTGCCCTTATGACTTTTGACTGTGGAATTGTTTTTTAAACTTTTTTTGTTGTCTCAGGTCTTAATACCTATGGAATGGCTTTCCCCACTAGCAGCCACAGGCCTCTGCCTCAATTTTACTTTTTTCTTTTGGCTTGTAGAGGTGACTTCTGAGTCTTCCAAAGTGAATTTTGATTTTTTGAACACTCTATTTTATATAGATCTTTCCTGAAAATATTCTTCAAATTTGGTAACATTTCTCATAAGGTTACTCACAGAAAGGCAGTATTTTTGCATGGACGCCATAGATCTGAGTATTTCACTCAACCATTTGAAATTATCTAGCAGCTTCAAATTGCTGTTAAGGCCAATAATAGTTTAATCTTATTTATGCCTACCTCTATAGTTAGATATTCAACACCCTACCCCCACTACTCCACTCCTGCGCGCATACATTCTCTCTCTCTCTCCACCCCCACCCCACCCCTCCATCCCCGTCCTGCTTCCTGCTCTTTCCAGCCACTATGGCTTTGTTTATTTTTTCTGAGTGCCTAGTTTTTTCTATTTCAGGATCCTTGCATTTACTCTTTTCCTCCTACCCTAGCCCAGACTGGTTACTTCCTATTTCTTTAAGTCTTAGATGAAACATCATCTTGGGAAAACTTAACCCGTCCTGCTTCACTAGCTTAAGTCTTTATAATGTGTTCTTATATTAATTCATGGCATTATCACAATTGAAGTAAAATAACTTTTGTGTTTAATTATTTGTTTGTATGTTCTCCCTGTAGATTTTCACTTCCACAAGTGTAGAGACTACGCCTACCTTGTTCATCACTGTATACTCAGTATCTAGCGATGTCTCACAGTAGATGTTCAATAAATAACTGTGTTTAGTAAATAACACATTTATTTACATATTATTTATATGTAGTAGATGTTCATTAAGTAATACACATGTTCAATGAATAGCTGTGGAAGAATTATGGATGTATGTGTAAAGGATTACAATTTTTTTTTTTTTTTAGGTTAAAGAAAGACCTGATGTGGGAGTTTATATCAAAGATTTATCAGCTTATGTGGTAAATAATGCTGATGATATGGATAGAATTATGACACTAGGCCACAAAAATCGTAAGTGTAATACATAATTGTATTGTATTACAATTTATGTGTTGACTAAGCTGGTTTAGAAGCAAAACTGGTGTGGCATTTTGTCCCACAAAGACTAGATTTTTAAGTGTCTTGAAAACTCTTTCTTTTTGATTATTTACTAGGTAGAGAGCATATTCGGTGGGGGGGGAACATCCGGCCCAAGGGCTGTATATGGCCCATGAAATCATTTTGTCTGGCCCTGCCAAGGCAACCGCAGGCGGGATTCAAAATTCAATAAATCTAGGAGCTTTTTTCATAGCTAATTTTTAAGTTGATAATTTTGTGTGGCCCTCAAATGATGTTATAAATATCCAAGTGGCCTTTGGCAGAAAGAAGGTTTCCCACCCTTGGCAAATATTGATGGTAGATCTCACAGATTTTCTGTGCTGAGCAAAATTTTGTTTCTTAGTAGTAGTGCTACATTTTTGAAACTCTTATATAGCTGTTTTTTGTTAGCTATAATAATATTTGGGCCCTAGCCGGTTTGGCTCAGTGGCTAGAGTCTTGGCCTGTGGACTGAAGGGTCCCAGGTTTGATTCCGGCCAAGAGCGCTTACCTCGGTTGCAGGCTCAGTGCCCGGCCCTGGTTGGGGCAAGTGCAGGAGGCAGCCTGTCAGTGTGTGTTTCTCTCATCAGTGTTTCTCTCTCTCCCGCTCTCTCTGAAAAGCAATAGAAAAGATATCCTTGGGTGAGGATTAAAATAAATAAATAAATGAATATATAAATAAATAAAAAACAAAAAAATAGAAAATGAAAGGAGGTTTAATAGTGGTTACTTTTAAGCAAGGGGAAGTAGGATTGGAGAAAAGGGATGTCTGGAGCTTTCATTTTTTTTTTTAAATGTACTTTTACATTTTTTATCCCAGGAATATGTTCATGTATTGCTTATTTAATTAAAAAAAATTTAACATAAGATTCCATTTACAGTAGTGACCAAAACCTCCCGTTAACTACCTGGGAATTGGTTTCACTTGGTATGTGAGATTTGTTCAAGGAGACCTAAAAAATTCTAATGAGAAAAGTAAAATGAAACAAAGGTAAAGGGATTTGAAAACCTAAGATAGCAGAGAAGAAAGTACTCCTAATAAATAGGTTGAGTCCAAATATTTAGTACAAAAATTCCAACATAAAAATATAAACTTTATCATATTGAAATAGAGTAAAATAACTATCAAGAGGGACGGACTAGCAGAGGGGAAATATAGGACAATAAAAGCTGCTATTCTAAATAGATGAAAAGTCAATACAAACATAAAGTTAGTTCTGTTTTATGCAGGTGGTCATAATATAGCAATAGTTAATTTTTACCTAAGAAAATTAGTCATCTCACGAACAAATAAACAGCCTGCCTAGCAACGAAAACGCAAATTTTCAGTGTATTTACATTGTGGGCATCCTTGTAAGTTGGTTAATATTTTTGTAGAGCAGTATTTTCAGGCTTTAAACCAAATTCCTTCTTTAAAAATTAATTTTTTGAATAGGTAATCCATGCACATGCTATAAAATTCAAAAGACACAAAAGTATCCATTGAAAAGCAAGTCTCTCTCCTACCCTTGTGTCTCAGTCAGCTAGTTCTAATGTGCTCTTTCTGATGTAGTCTGTGTGCCCACGCATGTGTGTTTTCAGAGAGTGTCCTCTTTCTTTATGAGTCAGATAATAGCATACTTTATTCACTTAGCAATATTATCTTAGACATCATTTCACATTAACACATACTAATATATTTATAAGCATTTTAAAAGAATGATGTAGTATTTATTTCATTGGGTGGGTCTACATTATTTATTTACCCAATCTTTTATTGATGGACTTTTGGGTTGTTTTCAATCTTGCCATTATGAGCAATATTGCAATAAGCATTCTTACATATACATGAGTTTATACATATGCAGGCATATTTGTAGGATAAAATTTTCCATGCCCTCTTGAAAAACATAAGAATATAATTTTTTTATTCCAAAATAAATATTTGACGAAAGTTAAAGTTGTGGAAATGTTTTTTGTTTTATTTCCATTATGTGACAGATCAGTGGTTGGAACATTGAGTGTACTTCATTGCTGCAAGCTCTTCTCCCCTAGGGATTGTAAAGTTCAAAGTAGGTCACATTTAACAACATGTCTGTTACATTCCTTGGTTTTCATAACCAGAAATATAGAAAATTACAATCATAAATAGCATGCTTTACATATATTGCAAAAACAATAGGTATTAATATTTTTTCAGATTATATGTTCATTCCCCATGCAAATTGAAAAACATTGCTACAGTATGATTTGATATCACATAGCTAAAAAATGATTTCTACCTTTTGACCTGATAATTTCAGTTTGGAAAATACATCCCATGGAAGTAATCCTAAAGAGAAAGAAGGATATCTGCTCAGAGATGCTCATCTTAGTGTTCCTTATGAGGACCTAAAATAGGAAGCCATCCCAAATATCTCTCAGTAAGGGAATAGCAAAATCAAGGCTTAATAGGTTTTTACATGTTTGGAAAAAATTAATAATTTGATTTAAAATATAGCATGAAGTCACAAATGCCTTCATTTTCTTTTGCTAATTTTTCATTTACCTTCTTTCAACAGGCTTTACTGTTTTTTTTCAATTACCGTTTACTTTCAACATTTTATATTGGTTTCAGGTATACAGCATAATGGTCAGACAATCATATACTTTACACTGTTCTCCCTCCCATATTTCCAGTACCCGCCTGTCACCATACACAGATATCACAATTTTATTGACTATATTCCCTATGCTGTGCTTGCCATCCCTGTGACTATTCTGTAACTACCAATTTGTATTTCTTAATTCCTTCACTTTTTTCTCCCAGGCCCCCCCCACTTCCCTCCCCTCTGGCAGCCATCATTGTGTTTTCTGTGTCTATGAGTCTGTTTCACTTTTTTTTGTTTTTTATTTTGTTCTTTAGATTCCACATATAAGTGAAATCATACGGTATTTGTCTTTCTCTGACTGATTTATTCAGGCTTTACTTTTCTGTATTAGTGCAATTTACATTCCAGTTACCTGACTTCCAGTATAGCTATATGCCAATAATGAATAAAGTTTATATTTTAATGTTTAAATGCTAAAATCAAAGCTTGTGCCTGGCCAGGCGTGGCTCAGAGATTGAGCGTCTACCTAGGGTCCAGGAGATCGCGGTTCGATTCCCAATCAGGGCACATGCCTGGGTTTCGGGCTCGGTCCCCAGTTGGGGGCCTGCAGGAGGCAGCCCATCAATGATGACTCTCTCATCATTGATGTTTCTCTTTCTCTCTCTCCTTCTCCCTTCCTCTCTTTGAAATCAATAAAGATATATTTTTTTTAAAAAATCAAAGCTTGCATAGAGAAGTTCTGCATGAACATATAGTAGTAAGATAATTTTGGCATTGGGTAAAGTTAACATAATGCTTTTAAAGTAGTTTGGAATATAAGGAAAAAACCAATACATGTGTATTATAAAAAACAAAACAGACCTTTTTCTTTGTTTACAAAACATATTCATGTAAAATATTCATACCCACACCAGTATTTAATATATTTTGAATGGATGCTTTTGTTTTATAGAATAGGGATTATACTATATATTCCTCTCTTTTTTTTTCTCCAGCCATATGTTATGGGTATCTTTCCATGTCCTACCTTCTTTTTTTAACCCCATTGTATGCCTAGTCTATAACTGATTAACCACTGTCCTGTTGGTTGTTTCTGATCTCTTGCTGTTGTGAACAGTGCTGAACTGAATATCCTGGCATCATCTGATGCATATTTACAAGTATTTCTGTGGTTTAGATTTGCAGAACGTAATACTTTTTAGAGACAGCTGAAACAGCAATATTTTTTGAATTATTTAACATGTATTTTTATGTTAATGAGCTATTTTTTTTAGCCAGTAATACTTGAGATTAAAATTTATTTTGTCCTAAAATTACCTCTTTAGTATGAGAAACATTACAAATTCTTTTGCTATCAACATAAATTGTCAGAAACTTCTTAATAATGGCCAAACACACCTCTGCGTTTATGGTTTAGCCATGCTCTTTGGTTTTTGGTTCTGATGAAACTAAGTATTCTAAACCATTCTGGATAGTTAATAATTTTTAAAGGTACTCTCTGTTGTTACTATTTTTTAAGAATTTCCTTCCTTTATTCAAGGTTCTGTTGGTGCAACTAATATGAATGAGCATAGTTCCCGTTCACATGCCATCTTCACAATTACCATAGAATGCAGTGAAAAAGGCGTTGACGGTAACATGCACGTCAGGATGGGGAAGCTCCATCTTGTAGATCTTGCTGTAAGTAATAGGCTACTCCCTAAAAGAATAACTCTTGTAATTTTATTATTTTATAAATGAATAAAAATTCAAGTGAAAAGGTATGATTTATGTATGATTTTTAAGTTGTTAACGTGAGTATGTGTTTAACTTATTATGGAATATTTCAACCTATACAAAAGTAGGTAGAATGATCATCTGTGTAACCATCACTCAATTTCACCAATTACTGGTTCAACAGTTACTGGTCCATGGCCAGTCCTGTTTCATCTCTACCATTCCCCATTTCCCTTCCTGTATTATTTTGAGGTGAATTCCAGATATTATATCAGATTCCTTTTCTGTTAAATTACTTTTTTTAAGCTTTGGAAATAATCTGTATTTTTTATTTTAGCTTTATTTCTGTGTCTGTTTATTGCTAGGGTTCAGAAAGACAAGCAAAAACTGGAGCTACTGGGCAGCGCCTCAAAGAAGCTACAAAAATCAACCTTTCACTTTCCACCCTTGGTAATGTCATTTCTGCCTTGGTGGATGGAAAAAGCACTCATGTGCCTTATCGGAACTCTAAATTGACTCGTCTTCTTCAGGATTCCTTAGGAGGAAATTCAAAGACCATGATGGTAAGACTTTGTTGATGGTATTGTAGTTATCATCAAGCAGATTTAAGATTCCTGTTTATCTCCATAATTGATGTGCATAACATTTTTAAACTGTTGATTATTATACTTTATTCGATTTATGGTTATTCTTCTAGTATACTACATGTACTAGCCCATATCGTGGTGTTTGGAAACCCTCGTGGTTATACTTACTCTCTTTTTCAAGAAGACCAGAATAGAAGTATAGAAGTGTGCTTCAGAAATTCTTTTTGATATCTTTGTAATGGTTGTATTAATTTTAACTGTGTCGGGTGTTAATATGTTTTGTTTTGTATCCCTGATTCAACAGTGTGCAAACATTGGGCCAGCAGATTATAATTACGATGAAACTATCAGTACCCTACGGTATGCTAACCGTGCTAAGAATATTAAAAATAAAGCTAGAATTAATGAAGATCCAAAGGATGCTTTGCTTCGTCAATTTCAGAAAGAAATAGAAGAACTGAAAAAAAAGCTTGAAGAAGGTAACATTTTCCCAAAATGTTGATCTTAATGTTGGCTAAAGATATGCTGTTTTACCACTAAGTGTTCTAATAAAAACCACCTATTAAAAATTCTTTGCACCTCTGACATTGATATTTAAAGGAATAGTTCTGCTTGGTAACTTGATACATACTTTAGCATTTTCATATTAAGCTCAAGTTAAATTATATAATGTTTTTATTTGCGATTTAAAAACTTAATCCCAGTGACCGTCTGTAGATTTCATATGACCACTTATTAAATAATGAATTTTTATTTGTCTCTATGTAAGAGCAAATTCTACCATATATTTAGATTACTGTGGCCAGAGTTCTCTGTGATGGTTATCAGTCACTATTGTTTGAAGAACAGACAGCTATCACACAGTCATGGGTAAACCATGTTTACTATAAGTAGAAGTTCATTGCATGGCCTTGAAAATATGCTTTCATACTTAAATTTGAACATGAGATTCTCTTTCGGAAATTCTTTTCTAATAAGATAATGTTAGAAGGCTAGAAAGTTTGAAGACCTTGTTCTTGAGGTTGAGAAATTTACCATCAAATTTACCATCACGAAGTGCCTAGTGACTCCCTGTACCTTCATGCTAAGAACTGATTGGCATAGGGTTCCTTTGCATACCAGGTAAACCAGAGAGCTCTGAAACTGCCTCTTTAATCTATGGGGAAACTGATTGGATCAGATGTGAAATTACCAGGTGCCAGCATCACAAATTTTTGGAGAAGGTGCTGATTCAATAAACTTGAGTAAGATTATTGAGGAAAAGTAGTAATAATTGAACTGCCTCTTAGATAATGAAATTTGGTGTTTTAAGTGTGGCCACTAGGTGGTATTTATAGTCAGTATGTTTTAAAGGTTTAAAATTTCTTAGATTTGTTGATGTTGAGTTTATACCTTTATTTTGCTGACTTAATTTTTTAACATTTTTTTTATTGTGGTAAAATATATATAACATAAAATTTACCATTTTAACTATGTTTAAGTGTTTAGTTAGTTCTGTGCCATTAAGTACATTTACACTGTTCTGTAACCATTACTATTATCCATCTCCAGAACTTTTTAGCCATCCCCAAATGAAACTCTGTACACATTAATCACTAACTCCCCATCCCCCTCTCTCCCTCAGCCCTTAGTAGCTACTGTTTTACTTTCTATCTCTGACTTTGACTATTCTAGGTACCTCTTACAAGTAAAGACATATATTTATCCTTTTGTGTCTGGCTTATTTCATTTAGCATGATGTCCTCAAGGTTCGTCCATATTGTAGCATGTGTCAGAATTTCCTTCCTTTTTAAGGCTAATATTCTGTTGTCTGTATGTACCACATTTAAAAAATATATATGTTTTTATTGATTTCAGAGAGAGGAAGGGAGAGGGGGAGAGAGAGATAGAAACATCAGTGATGAGAGAGTCATTGATCAGCTGCCTCTTGCACCTCCCCACCAGGGACCGAGGCTGCAACCCAGACATGTGCTCTGATGAAATAGAACCACAATCTCCTGGATCATAGGTCGATGCTCAACTGATGAGCCACACCGGCCAAACTATATACCACATTTTTTTTTATATATATTTTTATTGATTTCAGAGAGAGGAAGGGAGAGGGAGAAAGATAAGAAACATCAATGATGAGAGAGTCATCAGCTGCAGCCCACAACCCGGGCATATGCACTGACTGGAAATCGAACCCTGATCTCCTGGATCCAAGGTCGATGCTCAGCCGCTGAGCCGCGCCCAGCTGGGCTATACCACATTTTTTAAAATTATGTTTTTATTTTTACTTTTTAGAAAAAGAGAGGAAGGGAGAGGGAGAGAGAGAGAGAAACATTGATTGGTTGCCTTCCATATGCAACCCGACCGGGGATCAAACCCATAACCTAGGCATGTGCCCTGACTGGGAATTGAACTGGCAACCTTTCAGTGCATGGGAAGATGCTCAACCAGCTGAGCCACATGGGCCAGGGCTACACCACATTTTGTTTATCCATTCATCTGTTGATGGGCACTTGGGGGCTTCTGCCTTTTGACTGTTGTGGATAATGCTGTTACGAATGTGGGTATACAAATACCTGTTCAAGTCCTTGCTTTCCATTTTTTTGGGCATATACCCAGAAGTGGAATTGCTGGATCATATGAAAATGCTGACCTTATTTTTAACACATTTCAGTTTATCTCTGCTCTTCGGACATTTGTTTTTGTATCACAGTTGACAGAGTTTTATAATATGGTAAATAGAACTGGTTATATGAACAATAAAAAGTAGGGAAAATATTTCAAAATTACTTATTTTTCATTTTGATATAATTTTAGACTTAGAGAGAACTTGCAGATGTAGCAAGGAGAGTTCCTATATACCCATCATCCAGCTTCCCCTAGTGTTAACATCTTACGTAATCATAGAACAATTATTGAAACCAGGTAATTTACATTGATACAAACTTAACTAATCTACAGATCTTATTAAAATTTTTATGGCATAGCAGTAAAACAGTTTTATTTAATTTTAAAATAGTCATCTATGTGAAGATCTTATTTAAATTTTGACAGTTTTCCCTCTCATGCCCTTTTTCTCTAGTCCAGTATCTAACCTAGGATCACATTGTGCATTTAGTTGTCATATCTTTGTAGTCTCAGCCAGTCTCCAGTTCCTCAGCCTTTTTTTGCCTTTCATGCTCTTGACACTTTTGAAGAGTACTGGTCATATATTTGTAGAATGTTGCTCAGTTTGGGTTTGTCTATAGTTCTCTCATAATTATTCTATAAGGTTTCTCTACTATAAAGCTACTATTTATTTTATTTTATTTTATTTTATTTTATTCTTTGTAATTAATATGTATCTTGTGGGGAGCTACTTTGAGACTATACAAAGGTCCTGTTTCTCCTCATACTTTCTCCCACTAATTTTAGCATACATCAAGGGTTCTTGCCTGAAACAGTAATTCTGTGGCATTTACTCATTGGTAACTTTCTCTTTCCATCATTCCTTCTGTTTAGTGTTTGGAATTCTGCTGTATGGAAGAGCAGCCCCTTCTCTCCCACTTAATATTTGTTCAGTTATTTACATATGTCAGTATGGACTCATGGATATTTGTGGTTTATAGTACAGTAATAATATTTATTTTATTGCTCAAATTGTCCCAACTTTGGCCATTAGGAGCTCCTGCAGGGTTGTTCCTATATCCTTTCAGCATGCTCCCATAAGTTTTTTTGTTTGTTTATCACTTATTTCCTGGCACCACAGGTGTTTTGAGCTCATTTTGTATTTTTTCTATCCTAGCTTTAAAATTAGCTATTTCTCCCTGGTTCCTTTCATTGGAGAATGTTATTTAGAAACCAAGATTTGAGCATTAGGTGTGCTCATTGCTATTGAGGTGTCATTGTTTCTGAGCCTAAAGAACAAAATATTTTTTAATGAATTCCTTCTCCCAAGACTCTGTGATCTCTTTCCATCCTTTATTTACAGGTTCAAATATTACCTTGTTGTGATTAGTGTATATTTTACTTTTCCCTCCCGATTTTGTTTTCTTAAACATTTCATATATGGACAGTGGTATTTTTAAATAACTACTTGGACAGTGATATAGTACTGACCTTCATTAATATTAGTTTGATTACTCCCTTTATTTGATTTTTGTGTTTTTTTAAGGTTTTTATTCTTTGTACACTTAAGTCTTTTTGAAATATTTCTTGTGATGTAGTTCTAAAAGTGGAATCACTCTGTTAGATGACAGTTTTATGGCTCTTAAAAAATATACAGGTTGAATGAATTATTTAAAATCTTAAACAGAAAACTGAAGAGAAAATGCTCCCCTAAAGTGATCACATTTTTAAAAGACTGAAATAACTCTAACATGTATTTTTATATATATTTAAAATTATACTTTATTATTTGAAATTTTAAATGGATAAGAATTTAACTTCTTTTTAGGAAATTCAAAGTAAAGCCTCTGTGTACATATCTATTTCTGAGGTTAGTGCATCTGATACACTGTGTAGGAATTTTAATACAAGATTTGCCTAGGGGAATAAAAACTTAATGAAGTTGACATAGGTGTTTTCTAAATAGCAGTGACCTGGTACAGAATAAAAGTCATTGTACTACATTTCTATTCAAGGGGAAGAAATATCAGGCTCTGATATCAGTGGGTCAGAAGAGGATGACGATGAAGAGGGTGAGGTTGGAGAAGATGGAGAGAAAAGGAAAAAAAGAAGGGGTAAGTTTTTTTTAGTTCTAGAAAGTACCTGGGATTGCTCCCTAATGATGGTTTAACATTCCCAAGGAAGTTGAGTGCATGCCTTTTATTTTTCCATTTTTAGTTATGGTAGCAAATCAAACAAAGGAAGTATGACATATAACTGGTTACCTTTGTATTATTATTTTCTGCATTATGTTTTCTCCTATACCAATCTGTTTATAGCTGAATTAGAATACCGTATGTTCTGGTTTTTTAGAATTTAGAATTGTAAGTTGGTGGTAGTGGATATACCATTTTAAAATTTCATGTAGAGTTTCAATTTTTTTTTTTTAATATGTCTTTATTGATTTCAGAGAGAGGAAAGGAGAGGGAGAGAGAGAGAACCATCAGTGATGAGAGAGTCATTGATCGGCTGCCTCCCGCACGCCCCCGACTGGGGATCGAGCCCGCAACGCGAGCATGTGCCCTGACCGGGAATCGAACTGTGATCTCTTGGATCCTAGGTTGATGCTCAACCACTGAGCCATGCCCGGCCGGGCTAGAGTTTCAGTTTTATGTGGGGACTTTTATCTGTGTTAGGAACCTAAACTTTTTAGGAAATTTGGGTAATATGGAGTTTTTCTCAGGTATGATTAGGCTTAGAAGTCATTGAATTTTTAAATAAATTATAAGAATTCTGTGTTTTAATTTGACTTTTTTTTTAATTAAAATATACTTTCATTCTCACCTTATTATGTGGCATTTGTTACCAAGTCTGAATGAAGACTGTGTTTATTGTGGTAAAGATATGGATAACATGCAAAAGAGAGAGACGCATGAAATGGCCTACATTTCAAATCTTTTACCATAAATATTTATTTCAGAACTCTCTTCCATTAACATGGATCATTGTTTTCAAGCTGGTACATATTTTGCTTATCTTATTAAAATGATCTTAATCAGGGCAAGATCTTCAAGTGCACATCTTTTGCCATTGCCTAGCTGCCTGCACCTGACCTTCAGAGAGATGGGGATCATTAAGGGAAAACATTGAAAAAATAATGATCTTGCTGAAAATAAACTCATCACTGCTTGATCAGGATTCCCAAACTTAAAAACTATAAAGATTTTATAACTTCTAAGCATGATTTAGAGCAGGATTTTGCAAAATATAGTCTGCTGGCCAAATTCAGCCTACGACATGTTTTTGTAAATGAAATTTTATTAAAAAGCCATGCTTATCTGTTTATGTGTGGTCTACAGCTGACTGCTCTCACATGAGACTGTATGGCCCACAAAACCTAAACACTTATTATCTGTACCTTAACAGAAAATGTTTCCCAAACCCTGACTTAGAGAATCAGTTTTGTGTTCATACCTATTTTTTATTTTTAATTTTTATTGATTTTAGAGAGAGAGGAAGGGAGAGGGGGAGAGAGAGAGAAACATTGATGTGAGAGAAAGACATCAATCAGTTGCCTTTGTCACGCTTCCCAAACGGGAATTGAACCTGCAACCTGGGCAGGTACCCTGACCGGGAATGGAACCAGGGACCTTTTGGTGCACAAGACAACACTCAACTAACTAAGCCACACCGGCCAGGCCACACCTGTTTTTCACAGAGTAAACTATTCAGATAATAGATTTGTTAAAAATAAAATTTTAAATAACAAAAAATATTTAATAGTAAAAGACCTTTCAGGCTTAGACATTTTTAAATGTTCAATGAGCTTTTCAAAGTTTGGCCATGAAACCTTAAAACATACATAATTATATCTGATAGTGTGATGTTTTAGAGGGGAACGAGTGAAATTGGAGACAAACCAACCTGTCTGTAATGAAAGGCAATTTATCATTTTATAATTTTAATTGTGCATGACTTCAAATCTTAAAACTCAGTTCCTTTAACTTGTCAACCTAAGTAGTTTAGACTTAAATGTCACCAAATGACTTACTAATTTATTCTTATTGTTATTCCAACCCTCTGAATTACTGTGTTTTAGGTGAATAGTGGGGTTTGCCCACAGTAGATGCTTAAAGGAATACAGTTTCTAATTCCCCTGCATGGCTTTGTTGTTAGAGAATATTGGCTAGACTACCAACACTGGTTTTAAGGGAAAGTAAGTTTTGGTTCTTTAATACAAAGCTTGATTATCCTTTAAACTTATCTGTCTCTGGAACTGAACTTTTCTGTGTATGTGTTCCTTTTCTTGTTTCCTTTCTCTTTGGTTCCTGTTGGGCTCATTTCTTTGTCTTCCAGGCAGTAGCAGCAGCAGTAGTTCAGACTCCACATGTTCTGTCATAGAGAAACCTCTGGATAAGTTCTTGCCTAGTGAGTGGTAGCTCTTAAGTTCTCTAACAGAGCTTTGGCTTTTCCATAACCCATGGGCTTCATTGAGAAATGCTGCACTGCTCCCTGTCATGACTTAAAGAGTACATGTTGGACTACTCAATAGAACAAAGCATGTGATGATTCCCCCTCCCCTTCATTGCTTCCAGTGACCCATAATTGTTAAAACATATGCTTAAGCTTATGTTTGAGACAATGGAAGAGAGATTCATGCTTTTGCAATTGAGATAATGTAAAGAGAGCTAGTAAGCTGTATAAAAGAATACTTCTTACGGTTCCTTTTCATGTTTCATGACAAATTTCTAATCCTAGTTAGTGTAAGGGGTGTGTAGTAACAAGTGTTGAATTTCTAAAAGTCCAAATTGTATTTGGAAATACACCAGTGCCCATTATAACATGTCTTACCGTTATAAAGGTTTTAGGCTTTGGTGTCTTAATCTTAGGGTAGCTTAAGAGCGAAGCTACCAAATAAATAAATAAAAAGTAAAGTCTGATGCAAGTGAAGATCATTTGAATAGTACTTTATATCAAATGGCCATTTATCCCTATTTCTAAATTACCTGATTGATTTTAAGAAACTTTCTAATGTGTGATTAGAGAATTCAGATCCATAAGAGACTGTTTTTGCAGGATCTATCGACTTATTTCAAACCTAAAGACTTTTTCTTAAACCTTAATTAAATTGAAAACTATTACTAATTTTATTTATATTTTATTTTCAAAAGAAAAGGGAACTGATGCTTTCTTGTACTAGCTTGCAGCTTACTGTCTTTTAAAGCATTATCTATATACTTACCTTTCGAAACAAATAGCAAAAACATTTTGTTATGGTTCTTATGCCTTGAGTTTTCTAGAGGAAGAATTCCAAGAATATTAGGAATTGTATTCTCTACTGACAATTCTTAAATTTTACCGAAAACAGTTAATTTCAGAGGATAACATAAAATACATAACATTGCTTTAGAAAACATATGGAGGTATTACTTTGTATTATAAACTGTGAATTACAAGAAAATATGTGAGTGGGAGGCATTATAATTTAATTTTCTGTTTAAAAATTTACCTTAATCCTAAAAGATTAGTTATATGAAAGTATGTTATGAAATGAGTTTTACTTTGTTCAATTCAAGCAGTTTTAGTTACTATTTGTGCACCTAGCACATAACATTAAGGTGTTTTTTTGTGTGATGTGGATGTGTTGGTGAAGCAGAGAGATGGTTGTCCCAGCATGGTTTCTGTGTGTACCTTGTATGAACTTTCCCTTTTAAAAATATGAATGGCTTTTTTATTTAGGTGTGTTTTGCTTGAATCATCAATTGATTATTTACTTCTATGGAATCATTATTGTAATTATCCTTAACAATCTACTAATAGATTGAATGCAAGTTTGTTATTATACAGGTGTACTTCACTTTATGCAATAAATGTTTTTGGGTTTTTTCCTGAAAAAAATTACTCTTAAATAAAGTTGGAAAATCAAATGTATTGGGAGAGCTTGCTTTTTAAAATAATTCTTCATTAAATCCTTTTGTTAATCAGATAATCACTGCAAATCACTATAATTTAATTTGGGGTTGTGAGTGTGGGTTGGATTTTCTTAAAGGGAGGCACACCTGTAACAGATCCTTACACTGGACGAACATTGAATTGGGAAATTTTGAAAATGGACAATGTGAATTTTGCTGCTTTTAACTTAATAAATTGGCTTAATTTTCTGTTTTGCTCTTTTAGAATACTTCCCAGGTCTTAGCAGTTTCCCAATTCCATGTCTGCTGTTATTATACCCACATGGTGCTGACCTGTTATATTTGCAGGAGTTTGGGAGTCAGTGTGAGCTCTTGAGATTGATTTGAATTGTAATCATAGACTAAATTAATCTTCCTATTATCTTTGCTTAAATTACATCTCTCATTGTGTTGAATATGCTTTTTACATAAAACTGCTTATTTCAGTTTTGATAAAGATTTTTTTCTATGCTTATACTATAAATAAATGCTATTACACATTTTTCTTTGTTTTACATAAGAAATAATGTTTTTCTTTTTTCCTCCTCATCTCTGTGTATATGCTTCCTGTCTGCGATTTGCTTACTGCTTCTTATTGAAAGATCAAGCAGGTTGGTGTGATTGATTTGCACTCCACATGGTACAATTATTTAAACTACAAAGAACTTTGCAATTTAACTGTATTACTTTTTTTTTAATTTAATAATTTTTTTAAAAAGGTAAGTATGCATCTTTTGTATTTAAAAAAATCAACTTTAGCTTTAAAAAAACATCATTTTTTCCTAAATTATTTTTTAAAATTTATTTCAGTTTTTATTGATGAAGATAATGGGAACATTATTTCCAAATGGTCTTTTTAGGAGAACAATTCAGAAGTATTAGATTGACAGTGTCAGACACACAGGATGTGCTAGACCTAATTAACAACATAGACAAAAATAAACGGATTACTAGAACTAGATGGCATAATCTTTTTTCCTAAGTTTTTAAAAGGCCCATTAAGCCAAATTTTGGAAATACAAATATAAATTATTTCACATTCGAGCATTTTTATTTTTATTTTTTTTAAAGTGAGGAGTCAGATGCCTGGTTACTTATGCCCATGGGTGTTCATGTAGTGAAAAGGATGTTAATTCACTTAACATTTCCCTGAGATTCTCCCCATTAATTTGACCTTGCTAAAGTTCCCCTTCACAGTTTTGGATAGAGCACATGGCACAGGGCAATTAAGAATATTACTAATCTTGTTTCACTTAATTAAATACTCTATGACAACATTTTTTCTAACACTTTTTTTTTTTAATCCTTACCTGAGGATATTTCCATTGATTTTAGAGAGAAAAGAAGGGGGGAAGAGAGAGAAACATCAATGTGAGAGAGAAACATTGATCTGCTGCCTCCTGCACATGCCTTGACCTGGGATCAATCACACAACCTGAGTATGTGCTCCAACAGGGATTTGAACCTGTAACCTTTTTGGTGGTTGGACGATGCTCAACCATCTGAGCCACCCAGCTGGGTGACATTAACATTTTTAAAAAATTTATTTATCTAGCCCTGGCTGGTTTGGCTCCATGGTTAGAGTGTTGGCCCTCAGACTGAAGGGTTGCAGGTTCTGTTCCGGTCAAGGTCACGTACCTTAGTTGCAGGTTTGATTCCTGACCTGGTCAGGGCGCATGTGGAATGCAACCAATTGATGTGTGTCTCTTACATCAATGTTTCTCTCTGTCCCCCCCCCCCTCAGGTGAGGATTAAAAAAAAATTATCTGGAAATTTATGCTGAATTCTATTATACAGTATTAGAAGAAGCATTTTGTTGTTGTTTGGTTGGTTTTATTGATTGAAATTTTAAAAAATCAATGTAAAAGTGACTTTTTAGTGATGCCATGTTTTTAAGTGCCTGGTTAGGAGAGTTGGCACATATTTACATATAGCCTAAAATATTATTTGAAGAGAAGTATAATGATTTATAGGAGTAATTCCGGCAATAATACACTATTGAAATATTAGACCTTGAAACTAAACCTAGCCATATATACATGGTTATTTTTCTGAAATGTTACAAGAACACAATAAGATCTTTGTTGCTAAAACATCAGTTTGCAAATATTACCTGAATATTTTTGAATAACTAGTGCAATTTAAGCGGAGTTATTCATCAATAGGATGTGCTTTTGTATTTTAAATATAAAATCTTTTTATTCTGCTGCCTCTTAATGGGTTTGGAAACTATATGGTTTTANAGGAGTAATTCCGGCAATAATACACTATTGAAATATTAGACCTTGAAACTAAACCTAGCCATATATACATGGTTATTTTTCTGAAATGTTACAAGAACACAATAAGATCTTTGTTGCTAAAACATCAGTTTGCAAATATTACCTGAATATTTTTGAATAACTAGTGCAATTTAAGCGGAGTTATTCATCAATAGGATGTGCTTTTGTATTTTAAATATAAAATCTTTTTATTCTACTGCCTCTTAATGGGTTTGGAAACTATGTGGTTTTAAAAATATATATCTTTATTGATTTCAGAGACAGGAAGGGAGAGGGAGAGAGAGATTAGAAACATCAATGATGAGATAGTTGTCATTGATCGGCTGCCTCCTGCATGCCCCCTACTGGAGATCGAGCCCGCAACCCGGGCATGTGCCCTGACTGGGAATCAAACCCCGATCTCCTGGATCCTAGGTTGGTGCTCAGCCACTGCGCTATACCTGGCCGGGCTGGAAACTATATGTTTTTAACTGTTAACAAAACAATTAGAAGCCTAAAAAATTAATGTACAAATGTTAATCAGATCATTTCCTCTATACCATTAGTATCCATGTCTTTACACATACAGGTTTTTCCCTCCCTTAACATAATTGCCATTTTTTCCTTTAAGTATTTGAAATTCTGAGGTGGGAAGGAAGCTATAATTTATTACGCATGCATGCACTTAATACCTGAACTTAAACTTCTCCCCCTCAGATTTCTAAGAAATAGCATTACCAATGGGAAATTCTTTCTAGGAATTCATTGGGAATAGGGGTTAGCTAAAGAAACCAGTAGAATCAGGTCTACGTTTTGACTTCTGGAATGCAATGAATCACACCACACCAGAGCATGAATTTGGATCAGTGCTTTTATTTACTCTTTTATTTAACTTATTTGTTTCAGCTTAAGTTTGCTTTGGACTTAGATTTTTTTATAAATGAAGGGTAATATATTTTAAACCCTTGAGTTTTTTACTATAATTTTATCCTAAGGAATTAAAGCCTATGCATGATTCTTTCTCATGATTCCCCAAAGAATATATTCAGATGTGTATATATATATGTGTATATATATATTTTATATATATATATCTCCATCATCATTTTTTAGTTCTCTTTCCTTATTAGCAGGAGGGGTTAGCTTTTGGGTAGAGACAAACAACTTTTAGAGTCTTCTGGTTTACACTCTTCTATGGCCCCTTGGAAAGGAAGTTAAATACAGAAAGCTCTCAGGAGAGCCTCAGACCAATTCTACGAAAAGTCTGATCGTTTTTCTGAAGGAAAGTATGTTTCAAAGAATTTGTATTACCAGAAATGAATTATCTTTGATTCAGTTTCATAACCAGTTCAATATGCTAGTTTTTATTTTCTTTTTGATTTTTCATTTTAATTTCATGATTTTGAAATTCATTCAATAAACTTGTATAGAATATTTATTTATAACACTTAATTTAGCACTTTTATTTGTACTATTATTTGTATATTTGCTAGACATTATAATCAAAGTAATAAGTTGGAAGCTGTATTTCCAGCCTGATTATTTTGTAGTATTTCTACTTATATTTAACGTTTGTGTTTATTCTGACTTAGATTTAGAATCCTGTGTTTAACATAATAAGTTATTTTGTTTTTTCATTTAAAATATGTCACGACAGCTCAGCAACTATAAAGTGTGTGGTTAATTACTATGTAACTGTTATATAATTAGTATAGGCTTTTTCCCTTTAAAAGTATACTATGAAATAAAATACTTTCCAGTAATTTTACTAAGCAAAAATTTTATAAACACTTTGAAGATATATATTAAAAACTACTTGTTGTAAGTTCTGATATTTTTATCTGTTCATTTTATGCCTATTTGTGACTTATACTTATTCATTTATTTTAATAAATTTTAGGGAAGTATTTTGGGAAGCCACTTGATTTTGTACCTAGTTATCAGAAAAAAGTAACTAAATAATTATATTGCTTTTTTGACCATATATGTTATTTTGGGACACACAAGTCTTTGGGGGTTTTTTGTTTGTTTGCTTTGGCTTTTCTGTTCATCTTTCTCTTTTTTTTCTGCTCATCTGCTTTGCTTCTCTTTTACTTACTTTTGTCCTAATCATTGCACAATTGGATAACAGGCTCGAATTTAGCAATTAGTTTCAAAGTTCTTCTAAGAACATAAAATATATTATTCATTTGATTTCCTTAAAATGTTAATATTTCATTTTATGTTATTGAGGAATGTATCTTTTATACAAATGAAGAGAATCTATACTAGTCTGAAACATTGACTCTAGAGTGACTGTTGTAATTAAATGACTCAAATAGGTAAAAAGAAAGTTTCCCCTGATAAGATGGTTGAAATGCAAGCAAAAATTGATGAAGAGAGAAAAGCACTTGAAACAAAGCTTGACATGGAAGAAGAAGAAAGAAACAAGGCTAGAGCTGAATTAGAGAAACGGGAAAAAGATCTTCTTAAGGCCCAGTGAGTATTACTTACTTGATACAGATTTGTGATTTACATTTCTGATATTTTTCAGAGGACGTATAAACAAGAAAATTGAATAGTAATTAAAAGCTTGATTTTTGTCTCCAGAGTAGCTATTTTTGGATAGAAGGTTTCATTGTGTATGTTGTATTTCTAAAAATTACATCTGTTTTATTTCCTTTCTGTGTGGGAGGAAAAAAATATCAGTGAATTTGAATTAGTTCTAGATCAAATCAGAAATTAATGAGTTATCCAGTGGTATAATTTGATAGAGATGTTACATAACTGTTCCTATTTTGAAATTTTGCATCCAAACTTACTAAATTTTGGTAAATGGTATTGGTACAATAGTAGATAATTGATGGATATAGAGTATTTTCATTTTAATCAACAGACAAGAGCATCAGTCTTTGCTAGAGAAATTATCTGCACTGGAGAAGAAGGTAATTGTTGGTGGTGTTGATTTGTTGGCAAAAGCTGAGGAACAAGAGAAACTTCTTGAAGAATCTAATATGGAACTGGAAGAAAGGAGGAAAAGAGCAGAGCAACTTCGTAGAGAATTGGAGGAAAAAGAGGTAACGTGTCTTTTTGGTTTTGGTTAACACTTTTTTCTAGTGAAAAGTTAAATGTAAGTTTAATAACATTTTAAAGCAGATTTATGGGTTACTTTGAAGGTAATGGTTGCTAAACATTATTTGTTTAATAAATTTGTGATTTAATGAATAAATTATTCTGACGTTTATAAATTTTTGTCATAGCAAGAACGCTTGGATATTGAAGAAAAATATACCAGTTTGCAAGAGGAAGCACAGGGAAAGACCAAGAAATTAAAGAAAGTATGGACTATGCTGATGGCTGCAAAGTCAGAGGTTGGTCTCTTAGAAATTACCTACTAATGTAGTTCCGAATTTTTAAAAAAGAATTTCTTGTCCTGGCTGGTGTTGTTCAGTGGTTAGAGGGTCAGCCCTCAAAAAGGATTGCAGGTTCGATTCCCAGTCAAGGACACATATCAGGGTTGCAGGTTCGATCCCTGGCCCTGGTAGGGGCGCAGGCGATGTGTCTCCCTCACATAAATGTTTTTCCCTCCCTCCCTCCCGTCTACTCTCTCTAAAAATCAATGGGAAAAATATCCTCTGGGGAGGATTTAAAAAATGAAAAATCGCCCAGCCGGGCGTGGCTCAGCAGTTGAGCGTCGACCTGGGATCTAGGCGATCAGGGTTCGATTCCCGGCCAGGGCACATGCTCGGGTTGCGGGAGGCAGCTGATCAATGACTCTCGCATCATTGATGTTTCTCTCTCTCTCTCTCCTCCTCCTCTCCTCTCTCTGAAATCAATAAAGATATATTTAAAATAAATAAATAAATAAATATAATCATTTCTTTGATTAAGTATGATTAAGAATCCTAAAGGAATCATAATGTGTGCTTACAATTTTAAAGAAATAAAAATTTCTTCTTTATGTGCAATTTTTAAAATTTTAGCTATTAAACTAAATTTCCAACCTTAACTGATAATGTGAAAAAGACTTTGTGAGGCCCTGGCCGGTGTGGCTCAGTTGGTTGGAGCATCATCCTGTATATCAAAAGGTGGTGGGTTCGATTCCCATTCAGGACACATGCCCTGGTTGTGGGTTCAATCCCCAGTCCTGGTGCATACAGGAAGCAACTGATTGATGTTTCTCTCTCACATTGATATTTCTCTCTCTCTCTCCCCTGCCCCCCTTCCTCTCTAAAATAAAATAATTAGAAGAAAAAAAAGACATTGTTAGACACTCTGTTCATTGTTTATGTGAAAGATCTGGGTAAGCTCTTCCAGGATTTCTTAGACCAGAGCTCTGTGTCAGATTGAACTATTTTGTATCTAAAATATTATTTGTCCTTAATATTTTCATTGATTTTTCTCATAGATGGCCGATCTCCAGCAAGAACATCAGAGGGAAATTGAAGGCCTACTGGAGAATATTCGACAACTTAGCCGGGAGCTTCGACTTCAGATGCTTGTTATTGATAATTTTATACCTCAGGATTATCAGGTAAGAGGGAAGTTCTCTGACCTAGATATTAGGTCACTTGGCTGGGATTAAGAAATAAGGAAATATAATTTATCATTTAATTGGTGGTAAATATTTACATTTCAGTTGTTGACGATAAAATTTTCTTGAACTAATGCCATTACATTTCACTTCAGTTGTTAACTTTTCTTAGTACATAATTCTCTGTTTGAGTATTTAAGTATATAAATAAAAATTTATATACAGAAATCCAGATTCATGTACAGAGGTCCTCAAATAACATTGTTTTGGTCATTGTCATTTCATTATATCATTGATGAGAAAAAAATTGATTCCCAGCCAGGGCTACTGTCTCTGTGGATTGACATGTTTGCCCCATGTTCTGCGTGGGCTTTTTCTGGGTCTTCAGGTTTCCTCTCACATCCCAAAGCTGTGCACGTGAGGTGAACTACATTGCCCCAATCTGAGTGAGTGAGTGTGTGATATGCCCTGTGATGGACGGGCGGCTGTCCAGGGCTGCTTTCTGCCTTGTGCTCTCAGCTGCCTGGACAAGCTCCAACCTCCCACGAATATTTTCCCCCGAACCGGATAAGTGGGTTGGAAAATAATTATCTTAATCTTTCTTAAATGTATATATATATGTCACATTTATTTCAATGTTTAATATTAGTAGTTTGGGGTCTTTATTTAGAAGTTTGGTGATGTTTTTCTGACCAGAAATATAGAAACTTAACTCTTGCTTATATCAATTAGCCTGTCATAAAATTGGTTTTATTTTACGTCGTTTCCCTTGAAGTGGCAGTGTCCAGGAACCTCTCAGTAACGGTAAGTGAGGACTGACTGTAATCACGGTAGGAATCGAGGTGTAGGTGCTGTTTATTCATTCAGCGCCCTCTAGCCTGCGCATAGAGAAGCGGGACTCCTGTGCGAACTTACGGGTGCTAATTCTGTGTGTGTGTAGGGAGGTGATAAAATATACAAAGCATGACATTTACCATTTTAAGGGTTTTTAAGAGTACAGTTCACTGATATTAAGTATATTCACAATGTTATACAATCATCACCATTTTCCTTCTCCAGATAGATGCTAATTCTTAATACTAGTATTATTTAAGAATCTCAGCCTCTATTTTTCTTAATTCAAAATGTTCATCTTTCTAGTACATTTTAGTAAACTTTAACATATTGATTTTTTAAAAGTTTAATTTGAATCTCTATATAGCTGTAAGAGAAATCTTAGCATTTTTTCCTTTGGACGTCAGGTATACAGAATTAACCTTTGTTTCTTGGTACACTCTCCTTATTGGTCCTTGGAGGGCCGGCCTTGATTTAGTTTGTTATTTGTTGTGAACTCATCATCCCAAACAAAAGCTAGGCCCATTACAGTAACCTACTTCCAATCACATGTTTCCCTCTCCCCTCTTCCATCCCTTTGCCTCTTCCAACTAAAGGATAACCTTCATCCTCAATCCCTTGTTCTTCATTTCCTTGCTTTCTATTTTTATATAGTTTAATTGTATCTACCTATATTTCTTAAAAGCATGTATTTTAAAGTTTATTAAAAGTGTATCATGCAGTATTATAATGTTTTGAGACAAAATTTCTCCCTTATTAAGATTTTAGTTTCATGAATATTTTTCAGTATCTTAAGTGTTATAAAATATTAAAAGTAGACTATCTTTGACTCTTTTTAAAAGGAAATGATTGAAAACTATGTCCATTGGAATGAAGACATAGGAGAGTGGCAGCTAGTGAGTATTACCTTCATCCTTCATGGAATATTTGTGGAGTACTTCCTCTAGACTAGGGATTTTGCTGGCTCCAGTGGGAAGAGGTGGTCCACAGGATGAATCAGATGAAAGTCCAGTAGAAAGTGTTTTTCTAATTAACTATATTATAACACAGAATATTCTGTGGAATTGGCATGGCCAGGGCTACATAGGACTGAATGGCCTCTGGGTCCCTTTCTGTTCCAGCATTCAAATCATGTTTCATGAGTGTAACATCAGTATATCTCATAGTAATTTGCTAATTCACAGTATTAATTGCTAATTAAAACAATTCTCTGCCTCTTTTTTTCTTTTTCAAGAAATGTGTTGCCTACACAGGAAATAACATGAGGAAGCAGACTCCAATTCCTGATAAAAAAGAAAAAGATGTAAGAGTGCTTTTTAAAAGAATGACAGTGTTTCTTTATAGGAATATGGGTCAATAAATTATGTTATCAACATGAAATCAATCAGCTGTGCTAAAAATAGTAGGCTGATCTTTTGGGAACAGAGGTACTCTGGATGGGTGGTTTTAGGACAGTTCTGCTCACCTTCAGTTGTGATGGCAGGCTGAGTTCTCCCCCCAAAGATGGCATGGAATCTTCTATGGGCTCACTCTTTTCACCACCTTTCTGGGTTGTGGGGATGTTTATTGACTAGAATGTCCTTTTCAAAGCTAGCCCTAGTCTTAGGTCCATGAGAGGAGATACCAGCTTTAGGGAAAGCAGCAACAGTTCTGCTTTACTGCTAAGGAGTATATGGTGTGTCAGGGTTTACTCACCAGTCCTTACTGAATACATTTGAGATAAATGGCATTAAAGATATTTTTAGATATTTGTTTGGTCATGTCTTCTGTGGCTTTTTTCTAGAGTTTATTCAGTATTTTAAATTCTCCTCCAAATCTGATTTAAGTCTGGTGTTGGTTTCCTTTACTTAGCCCTTTGAAGTGGACCTTTCCCATGTGTATCTTGCCTATACTGAGGAAAGCCTGCGGCAGTCCTTAATGAAATTGGAGAGGCCACGGACTTCAAAGGGGAGAGCAAGGCCAAAGACAGGGAGAAGGTAAGGACTGTCTTAGAATCCCATGAAATCAAGGCAGTGAGATATGCTAATTAGATACATTTAAAGGAAATTTAGTTGATAAATATTTTGGCTGATATATTTAAGTATCAAAGTTCTTGCCCTGTCTGGTGTTTCTCAGTGGTTAGAGCATCAGCCTGTGCACTGAAGGGTTGCGGGTTTGATTCCCGATCAAGGGCACATACCTGGGTTGCAGGTTCCATCCCCGGCCCCAGTTGGGGTGAGAGAGGGAGGCAACCGGTCTATGTGTCTCTCTCACATTAATGTTCCTCTCC